ACCACTATTAGATCTGTTTCCCAAGGCGATCAGGGAAAAAGAAAAAGAACCTATATGTTTTAAAATGTTTATAGCAACACTTTTTGTGGTGACTGTGTTGCAAAGCAGCCTTATTTACTGCAACTTAATTTAGTTTTGGTTTGGATTGGGTTAGAAATGACACGGAGTCTCAAGTTTGATAGATTACTTATATAAGTATTTAGCAAAAGTATTTATTATTAAAACAATAACAAAGATAAGTAAGCGATAGTATAAGTCTCAGTAAGTAAGCAATAATATTTTAAGTCTCAATAGTTACAACATAAGTTTCAATCAGTAATAACTTAAGTCTCAATTGGTGTCAATAGTTACAACATTAGTCTCAATCAGTAACAACTTAAGTCACAGTCAGCACCAAATCTTACCACAATAGATCCTCACCATCAGAGGAATCATTTACATCTGGATCACATGGCTGGGGAGTCCCAGAATCTGCCTCCAGAGTTCCAATGGGAAGGTCCTGGGCTACGGGTCCATACCATGAAGGAGACTCCAAAGATGGCTCAGGACTACCCACCTTTTTAGTAATTCCTTCTAACAAAGAAGTCAGTTTGCCAAATAAATGTGTGATCGGTGGAAAAGGAGCTATTCTCAAAACTATCCTTGAGAACATTCTTGTTTAAGAATGCTTGGTTCCTGGAGGGGTGGCCAGCCCTTCCTGGGAGTGAACACCATAAACAGTCCTTCAATGTCTGACTAAGGATAAGATTAACATAAAACAGAATCATATAGTTAGGGTCAGATTGCAGGCATACTGAGCGAGGTCAGAATGTCCTTATGAATGCATGCATTACAGTGGCAAAGAACTGGAAATGGAGGGGATGCCCATCAATTGGGGAATGGCTGAATAAGTTCTGGTAAATGATTGTGATAGAATACTATTGCACCTTAAGAAATGAGGAGCAGACTGATTTTAGGAAAACATGGAAAGATTTGCATAAAATAATGAGAATGTTGTATATAGTAACAGCAATATTCTTCGAGGAGTAAATATGAATGACTAAGCTATTCTGAGTTGCATGAATATTCAAATCAACTACAAAGAACCTATGAAGGAAGATGCTATCCACTGCTATCCACCTCTAGAGAAAGAACATATAGAACTATGTATTATATAGTTTGTGTGTGAGTGTGTGTGTGTGTGTGTGTGTGTGTGTCTGTGTCTGTGTCTGTGTCTGTGTTGGCCTTCTCTAGTGCAGGGTTGGGAGCAAGGGAAGGAAACAGCTTGGAACTCAAATACAACAAAAGGAAAGAAAAGAAGTGTTTTAAAATGAAAATAATGCCTTAAAAATTAGAATTGGACAAGTGGAAGCCAATGACTTTGTGAGACATCAAGAAACAATAAAACAAAGTCAAAATAATTTTTAAAAAATGGAAAAATATGTGAAATATCTTATTGGAAAAACAACTGACCTAGAAAATAGATTGAGGAGAGATAATCAAATAATTTTTTGACTACCTGAAAGCCATGATCAAAGAAAGAGCCTAGACCTCATATTTCAAGAAATTATAAAGGAAAATTGCTCTGATATCCTAGAGCCACAGAGTAAAATAGAAATTGAAAGAATCCACCAATAGCTTTCTGAAAGAGATTCCAAAATGAAAACTCCCACTAAAATCAAAAGCAAGTAAAGGGCATAAACCTGAAGCCTTCCCAATAAGATCAAGATTGAAACAGGCATTTCCATTATCACCACTATTATTTGATATTGTTTTAGAAATGCTAAGTATAGGAATAAGACAAGAAAAAGTAATTGGAGAAATAAAAACAGGCAATGAGGAAACAAAATTATCATTTTTGTACATGATATGATGGTATACGTAGATAACCCCAGGGAATCAAGTAAGATACTGACTGAAACAATTAACAACTTTAGGATATAAAATAAACCCACATATATCATAAACATTTCATATACTACCAATGAAGTCCAGTAAGAAGAGATAGAATGAGAAATTCCATTTAAAATAACAGTTAATATTATAAAATACTTGAGAGTCTACCTGCCAAGACAAACCCAGGGACCATATAAACACAATTACAAACACTCTTCACACACACACATACACACACAAAACAAATCTAAACAGTGGAGAAATATTAATTGCTTATGAGTAGGCTGAGCCAATATAATAAAAATGACGACTTTACCTTAGTTAATTTACTTAATCAGTGTCAAACCAATCAAACTTCCAAAGAACTATTTTATAGAGCTCAAAACAAAACAAAACAAAAATTTATCTGGAAGAACAAAAGATCAAAAATATAAGGAAATCAATGAAAAAAATGTGAAGGAAGGCAGCCTAGCAATACTATATTTCAAACTACATTACAAAGTGATGATCATGAAAACAAATTGGTTCTAGCTAAGAAAAAGAGGGGTAGAACAGTGGAATAGGTTAGGTACAAAATACGTAGTAGTAAATGACCATACTATCTAGTTGTTTGATAAACCCAGAGATCCAAGTTTTGGAGACAAGCACTCAACATTTTGTGGGAAAATATTCCTAAAAAAACTAGAAAGCAGTTTGGCAAAAACTAGGCATAGATCAACATTCACACTATCTAATAAGATAAAGTCAAAATGGATAAATGATTTAGACATATAGAGTGATATCATAAGTAGATATTTGCAGGACATAAAATCCACATAAATTATAAACATTTCATGTACTACCAACAAAGTCCAGCAGGAAGAGATAGAATGAGACATTCCATTTAAAATAACAGTAAATATTATAAAATACTTGAGATTCTACCTGACAAGACAAATCCAGGGACTATACAAACACAATTATAAACACTCTTCACATAAACAAAAACATCTAAACAATGGAGAAATATTAATTGTTTATTAGGGGAGCATGGAAAAATGTACCTCTCAGATCTATAGATAAGGGAAGAGTTTATGACCAAACAAGAGATAGGATTACAGAAAATAAAAGGGATAATTTTGATTATATGAAATTAAAAAGGTTTTGCATAAATAAGACTAATTCAGCCAAAATTAGAAGAAAAACAGGATATTGGGGGGGAAATTGCAGCAAGTTTCTCTGATAAAGTCCTCATTTCTCAAATATATAGGGAAATTAGACAAATTTACAAAAAAAAAAGTCATTCCCCCAATTGGTAAATGGTCAAAAGATATGAACAAGGAATTTTCAGAAGAAGAAATCATAGCTATCAATAGTTACAGAAAAAAATGCTTTAAATCACTATTGATTAGAGAAATGCATACTTATGAGATTGGCTAACATAACTGAAAAGGAAAAGGACAAATTCTAGAGGGGATGTGGAAAACCTGAGACACTAATGCATTGTTGGTAGAGTTGTGAACTAATCCAATCATTCTGGAGAACAATTTGGAAGTATGCTCAAAGGGCTATAAAATTGTGCATACCCTTTGATCCAGCAATACCATTGCTAGGTCTGTACCCCAAATAGATTAAAAAAAAAAAGGATAAGGACCTAAGTATACAAAATATGTGTAGCAGCTCTTTTTGTGGTGGCAAAGAACTGGAAACTGAGAGGATACCTATCAATTGGGAAATTGTTAACCAAGTTATTATATGACTGTGATGGAATACTATTATGCTACAAGAAATGATGAGCAGGATAGTTTCAGAAAAACCTAGAAGACATATATGAAATGATGCAAATTGAAATGAGCAGAACTAGGATAACATTGTACACAATAACAATGATATTGTAAGGATAATCGACTGTGACTTAGCTACTCTAATCAAGAAAATGATCTAAGATGATTCCTAAAGACCCATGATGAAAAATGCTATCCACCTCTAGAAAGAGAATTGATGAACTCTGAGTGCAGATTGAAGCCTATTTTTCTTACTTTTGTTTTTTTCCTTGTTTTTTTGTAGGTTTTCTTTTGCATCACAAGTAATAACGGAATATGTTTTGCATAACTTCACATGTATAATTGATATCATATTGTTTGTCTTCTCAAAAGATTGGGGAGGTGTGGGAGGGAGGGTAATCATTTGAAGCTCAAAATTTTTAAAATGAATGTTAAAAAATTTACATGTAATTGGGAAATATTTAACAAAATAAATGAAAATATAACTTAAAGAAGAAATTTGGAAAAGGCAGTTTCTGATGCAGGACTAGAGTTCAGGATGGTAAAAGGGACTGGATAGGTAAATCTGGGAATGATCTGCAAAAAGATCTTGGGAGCTGATGAGACTGCTGAGTGAGAGAGAAGAAGAAGAAGAAGAAGAAGAAGAAGAAGAAGAAGAAGAAGAAG